AATAGACAATTGAGGATATGTTGGTGGTTGGATATCAATGTGGGGGATTATTGGCTGATTGGCTGAAACATATTGTAAACAAGCAGATTTGCATGTTCGCCTTCAGCGTGGCAGCGTAAAAAGTATTTCAGATATCAGATAAAAGATATTAAAAATGGGGGCGAAAAAGTTGAAGAAGAATTGCAGAAAAATGGTAATATCGAGCAAAAAACCTTTAACTTATACCTTGCGAAGTGTAGCCTTTACAGCGATTTGTTTTATTTATTTATTATTATTATTTTTTTTTTTTTTTGTAGCAAATCAATCAAACCCAGAATCGCGTCTCGGTATCATATTTTAAGTAAAAGTTGCCTCGAAAATTTTCTAAAATTTTAATAATAATTATAACCCGATTTTATTTCACTTCAAATTATCCTGTCTTGAGTTCTGCTGTCAAATCAGACGCAACTTTCCGCCTAAATGGGCAGCGGAAATGAGGTCATAATTATCAAAATATTTATTTGAAAATTTTAGAAATTCTTTTTTCAATTCAACATTAAATTTTGCTATGTTGGCTTTCAGATCTTAGTCTTTTATTCGATGACAGCAGCCCAAGCGACACCATCATACTCGTACAAGTAGTACAGCGAATATGAACACTTACTTCTTTATATTTATTTAGTATAAGATGCAAGTGTAGCCGCGACCTTCCACTATCGAGTTTCTGGCTCATGGCAGTCCGAACTGTCACTGGTTTTCGGGCACCGGTCTGTTGGATTTTTCGATTATCCTTTAGACGAACCCCTCGGCTGGTTTGGCGGGAGGTGGGTAACGCTGAGCTGGTCGTACCATAAATAACAAAAATAAAATCTTCTATTTTGTATAGATGGACTCCATATCAGTAGCCATGTCATGGACCGGATTTTAAACTACGAATCGCTGCTGAATCGTAACAGAATCGACCCATTTCTGAAGCGAATGGTAACCGGTGATGAAAAGTGGATCACTTGTAGCAAAATCAAACAAAACCGGTCGTGATCAGGAGGCAGTGAGACTGTACAAACGGTTTTAAACGCAAAATTTACAGTCTCGAAGATTTGGTCGTACTTCTGGTAGGATTGTTAAAGAATCATCCACTATGAGCGGCTCTCCTTCAGCCAAACTAGTAATTCGGGCATTTACGGTGAGCAAATGAAACGTATAAATGAAGCGTAGAAGTGCTCAGTTATGGCCAACAGAAAGGAAATTATGTTTGATCAGGACAATGCCTCGCGGTAGTGACTCGTCAGAAGCTTCGAGGGCTTTTTATTCCATTCCTCAAGTGGCATGTATTTGGGGAATGATTTGGCTGGGGAATGATTTGGCTGGTGAAGATTTGGCTTAAGGAGAAGCATATGAAAATCGATTGTCTCAAGTTGTCTCCAATAGAGACGAGGGTTTCAACGAGCATAATGGCACGATACATATTTGGCACATATCGGATTATACATAATGTCTTCAATTTAATGGATAAGGAATGGACTATTTTTCACTAGACTTTTTATGTGCCTTTTTTGTTGCATTTTTTTGTCGTTCTGTTGGCAACCCTATGCTTGAAAGCGTGCCCAAATAAGTCTCTTAATGTTTTCAATATTTTTTAATTATAAGCTCAACTTTTTATATTAAATGGAAAAATGTATATTTCGTTGGCAACCCTACCAAAAAGTTATTCTCAACTGTAAGATTTCGCGCTTGGTAACGCATTAAACGTAATGAAAGAATTTTTCCTGGCTAAACTCATCTCGAATAAAACTTTTTTTATTTTGGCTCGAAATTTCTTCTAAAAACCGTGAATAACCTTGATCTATCATCGAAAACCATGTATGTTTATTTACAAATTGAAAAAAAAAAAACCTTAAACAGTTTTGAAAAACGCTTCATTTTTTTTTGGTTTTCGTTTCACATTCCATCTTATTGTTTTATTCCATTTTTATCACCATTGTCAACCAAAATATCTCATTCACTTTCCTTGCATTCACTAAATCACTCTCTCGTTAGAAACTTTCCCCGCCCAACAACAATTATGCTCGAATATTCTTCGACACCAAATCTCTACGTCGACTTGCCAAGAAATATCAAAAGCTTCAACAGAATAAAAATATTTCAAAGTCAAACCACGCGAGTGAAATTAATAACAATTTGCCAAAAAATATTCGAATCTACACCCAAGAAGGGAACACTACCCAACAACACTGCGTGGCATGAGGTAAAAACTTAAAATATGCCAAATGTAATGGAGTAGAAAGAAAAGAATAAATAAAAGAAACAAAAAATGTGAATAATAGAAATTAAGCGCAGGACCGAAGAGATACCCATTGAGCCAGATAACAACTCAATTCAATTTGTAAGCATATTTTAGGGCGCGACACCCAAACTAAGATGCACCATAAACACTCCCGTCACTCATGATTCTCCCGCCTCAGTAAAGTGACAGTGACTCGAAACGGCAAAAGTTTTTCAATACTCATAAATATTCATCATCGCTTACGAGTGGTAGCAAAACGTAATGGAAGATGCATAAATGAAGCAGGCGAAAGTTTGTTGTTAGTGGATAGGTGGGTTGGATGGAAAAGTTTGGCAGAAATATGCTGATAGATATTTGTGATAGAAGCGAAAGTTCTTTGTTTTCTTTATTTTACTTTTTGGCTCGTTATTTGGTTAGGCGAATATAGTTGACAGTTGAATGGTCGCAATGAAATATAGAATATTCATGTTTGATATTGGCAAATGCTGCTGAGAGCTGAAGGGAAATACTTTACAAAAATGTATGAAAAATTTACAGAAATGTTTGCTATTAAGACAGTACAGGAAGTTGAGTAGGAAAATAAACTCCACCCAATTATGATTGATAAAAAGTTTAGCTCCTTTAATCATAGGAACCCTTTTGAATACCAAGAGTTCTCACGACAGTTCGCTCTCTGAGGCCAATGGCACTCAGATTATTAAACGAAAGAGCCTTTTTTCAACAACTCATTTCCCACATAAAACTTTTTACACCCTCGGACTTATACGGCCCAGCCGATTCACTAATGTCTTGCGAATCTCCATAAGGTACACAAAAAAAATTTTTTATTTTTATGGTAGCATATAATTAAAAAATCCATAACAAACGAACTGTCTACCTGTTGATAGTCGTCAGTTCTAAAATCATTGGTTGAAATTGTCCTAGGCAAAAAATATTACCCGCCATAGCTTGGAGACAAAAAGTTCTCTGCAATCGCACGAAAATGCAGAAACTAGCGAAGGCTAAAAGCAAGTGCTGATAGCAAAAAAGATTCTCGAAAAACCGTCAATGAAAAACAATTGCTGACTATTCTCGGGTTGCAGAGATCTTCAGGTGATTTGTAGTACCAGCCACAACTTGGTTAGAATTCATGCTTAGTATGTGCTTTTTGTGATGTTTGAGAAGGTCTTGATATACGAACACCGAAGCTAATAGATGTCTAAGACGTGTTCAAATTTAAGATTTCACAGAAATTATGGTGATGTTTCAACGTCTCCCTCACACCTGCCATTTAATTAAGAACAAAATAAGCCCCTGATCCAACAGACATTCATTCTACGAAAAAAAAATTCTATAAAGAATGATAAAATGAAAACTTTCATCATTTTCTCTGCTGCTTCTTCTTCTTTTTATTGGCCTAGGTACAGTTTAGGCGATTATAGGCGACTAAAAAATAACTCGCCATTTGTTCTTCCTCTTCACTGTTTAGCGGCAGTTGGAAATACCAAATGACACTAGGCCGCTCTTCATCTGATCCTTTCAACGAGTTGAGGCCTTCACCTACCCTTCACGATATGTATTAGAGCTCTAGATACCCGGGTATCAACCTCGTTCGTTGCTCGACTGCCCAAATGATGGTCTAAAATTTTTATACTTTGCATAATTAAAATTAAAAATATGAGAGAAAGTTCTGGGGGAAAAAGTAGAATTTTCTAATCAAAATGCTCGAGTAGCTCGAAAATGTGCGAACAAAATCTTGAGCTCTAATTTGGATCTTAATATAAATGAATCTGCTTCTTCGCATGAACGAAAGATCTTAAAAATGCTAGCTAAGTGATTTCAGCGAAATATTAATGTGTATTACTTAACAGTCGCTTTGTAACTGCTGAAGCAATTTTCGACCGAACTCAGCCTACAATTTATGGTTTGGGTCTTTGATGTTTTCGAACACGTTGTGGAATCTTCAGTTTATACTAAGCTTCCTTTCGAACGCCTGATGCCTTTTTACGAGGAGCCTCTATTTCATGTCAGAAGTGCCTTGCGGAGCTTGACCTTCCCCACCGAGGGTTGACCGCAGATACAAAAACTAATATTCTATAATTTTAGATATCGATCGGGCCATGACGCGAACCAGAGCTCCAACCTTGGCTTTGCGAATGTTATGCTGCCATTTAAAGAATAAAAGATAAAACGATCTTAGAATAATTTCGTAAGCTAATTTATGAATCTAATTTATTGGCAGTGTACTGTATCTCAAACCGCATGAAAATCAGCTGAACTTAAAAACTGTATGTAACTGTGTATCAGTTTTTGAAATTGAATTTGTTATTATTTCTATTTTTTTCATATTTTTATTTTGCAAAAAAATTCAATGCTGCCAGCGCTCTTAGAAAATATGCCAAATCATTGTCGTCTGAATTGGCTTTTCTTTGCGAACCTGCTAAAAACCAGTTGACGAAATTGGCGACGAATTTTTAACAGCCCAACCAACGTAATTAACGAGCAAGCGTAATATTTTACACGCGCAAGTTCAATGCCAAACAGCAGAAATTATAAAAAAAAAATTATAAAAAAAAAAATTATAAAAAAAAATTAAATTAATATTATATATGAAATATTACCCAATAATACCAACGAAATGCTACCATTCACTGTGCATTGATATAAAATCGCCTACGCTGCCCATCATCAGCATCAGTTAACATACGCAGTTTCATCGCAGCATTAGCAACTTATTCGAAATCCCTCAAACTACGCAATGGCATTCAAATACGTACTCTCATTTACCGCGCTGATCGCCGTAGCCAATGCTGGCGCACTCCTCGCTCCCGTGGCTGTGACCAAGATTGTCAATCCCGCTGTCGATGCTGTTGCTACCACACACCAAAACGTTGTACGCTCCTTCGCTGGCACTGGCTCTCATCACTCCAAGGCTGTGGATACACCTTACTCCAGCGTACGCCAATCGGACACGCGCATCAACAATAAAGTCTATGCACCAGCTATCGCTAAGACTGTGACCACTTACGCTGCTCCTGCTGTGGCGCCAGTTTTGCATGCTGCACCTCTGGTTAGCAAGACCGTGCTCTCGCCAGTCGCTAAGGTGGCTCCAGTTGTGTACTCACAACCCGCTCCGGCTGCTGTTTATGGTCATGTTGCTGCTGCTCCAGCTATTGCCTACTCGCCGGCGGCTACTGTTGCCCATGTTGCTTTCGATGGTTTTGGCACTCACTGGGGCTACTAAATTGCAGCTGTGATGTGGGAAATAATTTTAATTTTTGTTAATTTTGTTAACTTTCAGTTGTTGAAATTAATAGTAATAAATGTAATTCAAATATCGAAACTAAAAATTTATTTTATTCCAGAAATATGGATTTTCATTTTTAACTCGTCGAAAAAATTACCAAAATAGCATATTTATTTTTTATTAGTTTTGAAGCATATAAAAGACACTAGTCGCTGGGCCTAGCTCACGGACGATTTCTTCTCCTTCTTTTTCTCATTCTTCTCATCGGCGCTGGCAGCACTTGCACCATTATAATCAGTTCAACCGTAGCATGCCAGTTGATTTTTCTCTTCGCCATCAGGCGCAAATTGAGAACACAAGTAAAGCCAGCTCTTCGTTCGTATATTATTTCATCGGCTGCCGCCAACGTTTAACCTTCTGCATCACCGAGTTTGATATTGGTTCATCCAAAAAACCTTGCTTCTTAACTACCTACTCATCCCAGAGTAGTTAGTATCTGCGGGCAAGAGTGACTGTACGTTTAATTGGACGAAATTGTCTACAACATCAAAGTTATAATCATCAAGACTGAGGTGGAAACAAAGACGTATCATTGTCCAATCTAATCCAGAGAAAGGACAGTTGTATACTCTTGTAGAATATTACACCTCTTCTGTTTAGCTCTATAGGTCGTAAAATTTCCTCCAACATTAAATTTAAGGTCACGCTACGAAGGTTGAATCTCTTTGAAGTCTCGTTTAGAGTTAAATGGCTAAAAGTGGTCCTTGCCGATTTTGACGAAGCTGTTGACAATTACTATTACCTCATCGGTATAGTTTGGTTATCAAAAGTGTATTTCACCGCTATCAATAGGTGATTCTGACTCACCATATTCTGGTGTTTCACTACCATTGCAATTCAGCAAGCTGGACAAGTGTTCCCTCTAGGAGCTCAGTGTGCTCTGGGCATTAGTTGCTAGATCACCTTTATGAGTACATGTTTTTGCTCCAACCTTGAAAGTTTTTGTAGGTCTTCGTACTTTCTTATAGAGTTTATGACCTCTGTCGGCAGCTTTCCAAACTTTTCTTAATCAATTCTCTATTTCAGACACGATAAAGATCATATTGTAGAATATCCAGTCAATTGATTTTATTAACTTAACCATTCAACCTAAACTGAGCTTAAATCGCTAAAAAAATTTTTTTTTATAGATCAGGATCGCTGACCAATTCGTTTTGGATCCACTCACTAAACTTGTGACGCGCTTGAGGATCGTTCGACTTCATTTCTTGCACGAGTTGAATTTTGTAAGCCCGCAAACTAAGATCCTTACACAAAATCTTTCACAAATGGATGGATGGATGGCACAAATTGTTGTGTCGATAGTGGATAGACTCATTCTGGTCGGTCATCTTCGAAACTCTGCTCCGCAGCAGTAATGGCCTCTTCGGTGCGCACTACACGGCGCCTCTAAGAATGAATCAAATAACAGCTGTCATAAAGACCAACTCCAAGAAAGCAAGTATTGCCTCATTGAAAACCACATTCATTAGTCCGACTGTTTTCTGGAAGGCTACTAAATGGAATAACTAGCAATTTCATTCCGAAAAATCTCAAAACTACTTTTTAGGCAACTGTCAAATTTCTACTACAACAAAAAAGTAGTAATAGATTGACATATCAGCTGTTGTGTTGAGTGTCCTCAAGAGTTGAATACCTTTCGCAACTACTTTAAGAGGTGAGTTGTATGCTCTCAATTAGAGCGTCCAATTCAACTCACTCTCAGCTCTTAGAAATTCATATGAAAAATTTCAAATTTTACGATTTTCAACAAGTTGTTTGCTTTTTGCTTTAGAATATCAATGAATCGCGCTCGAGTCATTGAACGACATAAATCGAGTTGACAATAAATGCGTGCCACGTACAAAAAACAACAACAATGCAAGTCTCAAACAATGCAATGACAATACCCCTCGGTATATCCATCATTTGCAAGGAAACGCAGTGCCACAAATCGAGTGAGAAATGAAGGAGCGCCGGCAAAAAAATATATCAAAAAATCAAAACAAAAAAAAATCAAAAGAATGAAATCAAAACTACAGCACCTAATGGCTTGGTGAGAAAAAATCACTGACAAACCGCCAACAATGGTAACTGAAGCCATCGGCAGCAATGACAGCTATGCAACACGGCAATCGATAGCAGCGCCTGTCAATGGGTTAAGTGCTCGTGCTCGTGCTCGTGCTCATGCCCGGCAGCGGGTGTTAGTGAAAGGAGTTAAAGTATTGTGTGAAGTATGTGAAGCTCGAATTGAAATCACATGCACAGCAGGACATTTCCGTCGGAGGGCAAAAAATTGCGCTCGCCTACAAATAAGTCACTGACACACTGGCGCTGTGCAGCGGTCGGTTTTCTGGCAATTTTTTTTCATGGCAAGCGAGTGTGTCGAGCTGTAAAAGAAAAAATTTAACCCAGATGTGTGCTTGTAACCACGTATGTGTGTGACTGTGTATGAATATCATTCATCGTGTGCGGGCTTGGTGTCCTTTGTCTTCATTGTTTTTCGGTTTGCCAACACCAGCAAATCACTATCGATAGCAGCAATTGCTACCAGCACTGCTGATTGTTGTTGTTGTCGTCGTCATCGTCGTCGTCGTGTATATTAAGTGACAGCAATTGACACTTTCGAATGAATTTTTAATTTTCGTATGTGACACTCAGCACACTCAGCGCGCGCAAAGAACACACAGAGAAACGTAAAAATTCATATATGTACGTGTATGTAAAGGAAGCAAACACACATAGACAAATGCCTACACAGCTATTAGTAGTTTGATGTAGCTTTGCATGACTTTTAGAGTGTGTCCACGGCAGGTCTCTTACCAAAACTCGGCACTCAGTTGAAGAGTGTGAAATGAAACCAAGAAAAAATTCAATATTAAAAAGTGTAAAAAATATAAGAAGAGAAAACTAAAAAATGATATTAACTTGTATATTTGTCTATTAATATTTTCCATGCACGAGTCCTTTATTCCTTTATTCCTTTATTGATAAATGATGCTACGCTCAGTGAGGAAGGCACCAAATAAAAGGAAAAAAAAATAAACAAAAAAAATTTATCAACGAAATTAACCTTGTTAGCCTGGGAAACAGACATGCCAGCAGCTCGTTTGCTCAATTTCTTTGCAATATTTCTTTGTCACGACGTCAACAGGATGCACATGCGCACCCACACCTCGACACTCTCACACCAAAGGCCGTGTGCCTTAGAATGATTTATACTTAGTTTTTCTATTAGTTGCCTCTTGAAGATTGAACACATCAATAAATCAGTTGCGCTAAATGAAATTAGATTCATCAGAGTTCATACAAACTTGATGAGCTTACATACGATTACATACATATATTACTTACTTACATACATATAGTATATCAGCGGAGAACGCCTTTGTGTAGTAGTATGATAACACTGCATGGAAAGCATATATTAGTGTGTAAAGATTCTAGTCTATACTAGCATTTTGAAGCTGAAAAAATAGCAGTCTGCTATTTGCCGCTAAATGTGCAAGAAATCTCCCTCTAAGGAGAGCAAATAAGAAATTTCCTCATCACGCTACTGGTATATTTTTAAGACCTTGCTCAGTTCTTGTTGTTGTTGGCTGAGCTTCCGCGCAAATTTAAGCTATACATCTTGATATTTCTCTAACAAATGGAGAAACCTACTATCTATTCTAAGCCGCCCCCGAACGGCCGATGGGTTTTATGAAGTGTCACTAATCACTCGCAGAGCTTGGCATTCTCTGCCTTTAACTGGTAAATAATGGTACAACTGTGATTTCTTATCTACAACAATTAACGTGCTAAAAGTACTAATTACCAATGGGAAAAATGAGGGAATGTGAAGTAATTTGCTTAAAAGTTAGAACCTTTAGCATACTAGTTAACAACTGGTATCTCTCTCTTCTGGTAATTTGAAGTGTGTGCGAATTTTCTTTCATCCGATGCAGTGCGGCAGGGAATGTCCACCTTTCCGAGTGCATTTCTGACATGAAATAATGTTCCTCATAAAGACACTATCAGCCGTTCGGAGCCTGCTTAGTATAAACTGTAGGTCTCTTCATTTCTTGGAAAAAAACATCAAGACGCAAAGCCACAAGGAGGAGCAGCTCGGTCGAAAATCGCTCCAGTGGTTTCGAAGCGCCAATAATACATATGTATTTGAACCCTGGCCTTCCGTATGGCAGTAGGTAATGCTAACCACTCGGCTAATGCGGCCGCCAGTACTGGCGTTTAAATAGTTATGTAATCAAAAGGAACATTATTAAACTGCTGCCCCTCACCTGGCCAACTAACTTTCGAACAAACCCTTAAATCTGCTTGAGCACAACATTGTGGCATGCAACAAGTTGCGCCATGCATAACATAGCTTCGATTTATTTTTTAATCCCACTAAAAACTAGTAGGGGACTCCCGTTTAATACAACTTTATATGTTTCCAGGGTTGCCAGTTTGGGGGCGGGGGCAGACAGAGGTGGTGCATGATGAGCCACAAAACTTTAATTTTCCGTAAAAGCTTGCCAACTATTATAAATTATTCATTACAACGCGCTCATCTGCTTACACAAACACACAAACACACTCTGCTCTGCTATATTTGTATATATATAAGATTGGAAGAGCAAGAAATAAAAAAAATCAGTAAAGCATACAGACAACAGGCTGCTACGTGGCATGTTCGGCTGCTTTCGAGATGAGAAGCCAACAAGTGTGAGTCCTTGCTGCTGACAGCCTGCAAGCAAATGAATAGTGATGAGAACACGCTGAAAGGGCGACAAACTGTAAAGGGAAAGAACGAGGCTGTTTTGCAATGTGCTGGCTTTCGTCTTCTTATTTTACTCTTTTTCGAACAAATATACATATATAAATATGCGTGGCTAGAAGCAGACATTTTTTGGCGCTGAGCTCCAGCAAGCCACGTTGCTGTGGTTTGTACTTCGCATTTCAGCGCTCGCCAGTTG